CATTGAGAGTTCAAGCCTTCACCAACATCAGACAACATCATGCACCTGCGTGTGAGAGTGAGCAGGAGACGCTGGGAAAGCCCCACCTGTGGAAACAACATCAGGGAGATGGGAAACCACATGAGACACCAGAGAATGCAAGAGAAAGAGCTGATACGGAGGAAAACAGTACTTATAAATCATGCCTTTTTCTACTGTACCAACTCAGATTGTATGTCACAGAGCCTTTTGCAGGTAATTCCTGGTACTCTGAATTGCACTTGCACACACAAACTGGAAAGTAATGTACTTATTTACACCTGTGGGCAACCATATCATTGTCACTAAGGGCAATAAACTAATGACAGCTTCATTTTTGCCAAGTTTTATTTATAAGCTAAATGCACTCAGATTGTACCTGGCCCTTTCAAGGGTGAACTGTGTAGCAGGAGGCTGGAAGGAATTTTTGATTCCTCTCCAAAGACAGAAAGAAACTGTGGTTCCCTGGGGAAAAAAAAAAAAAGAGCAAGGAGGAGGCAGGGCCGTAACATAGGTTTCATGGGAGAATGAGAGTGAGCAAGCAACTACAGCCTGTGTTACAGGAGTAATCGGAGCAGCCAGCAAATTCTTCCAGCTGCTTTCAGTGTACAGTACTGCCTCTCCTCATCCCACGGCTCTTTGCTGCAAGATGCCCCAGCTTTCTTCAGTGAGCTGCTCTGTGTCTCCCAGGACAAGTGTCCTTTAACATGAAAGAATTCCAGCAACTAAACTCTGCAGAGCAGGATTAACTCTCAGTGGCAGTGGAGACTCCTTCTAGCAGAAGGGCTGAAACACCTGTAAATGGCATCATGGATACAGAGAGAGCCCTTGCTGGAAGGAGACCTGGGTGACAAATAGGTTATTAAAGAGCCATTCATGAGCATTCTCTTTATATTGTTCCTCCTGCTGCTGAGCCATAATTACTTTTATTTCCTTTTATTCCCTCCCAACTGGAAGATAGGGAAAAACAAAGCTTTTGTTTAACACTTCTGAACCAGGCATTCCAGCTATCTTCATTCTCTGATAAAGATCTAGGACTCACCTCACTCACCTGAGCAATTCTTACCCAACTGTATGGCACAAGAACGAAAGACTGCATAATGAGGTCCATAGTCAGAAACTCCATACAAAGATAAGACATCCCACAGAAGGAAGAAGGATTCTTGGGAACAGCTTCAAAGCTGCCTCGGTCACATATCTGTTGAAAAAGACCAAACAAAAGCTTCTCTTTCCCATGATATCTTGTCCAAAAAATCTTTCCAGCTACACACAGCAATAACTATATATAACTACAATTAAAAGACGGGAGCAGCATTTACTGGCTTAATTTCCTGAATAGGCCTTTGTTAAAAGCTGTCTGAAAGCTGCCAGTTAGATTGATGATTTTGAAAATCAACAGAATGGGCAGAACTGTATATTAATTGCATATATTACTGCAAGTATATGAGGAAAATCATGATTCTGTAATACAAGTTACATTGTTTAAGTAAGTCTTATACAGCCACAGGAGTAATGTTTCACTGCAGACATTCTCAATGTTAATCCATAATGTAACTAGCTGCAGCAAGAGAGAGGAACAAAAACCCACACCAACAGTTTGTAGCTATCCCATATCTCCGACAGGGTGATATAACATAGCATATGTTTTAAAATGATAAAGACTTCCAAGAATAAGATGCAGTTTCCAGAGAAATATTCATACACGCCCAAACAAAAGCAAAATCTTGTAATAATTGAATAATTGCAGCATTCTGTACCTAAGCAGTCCAAGAAAAATCCAGCCCAAACCAGCCCTTTTCAGTGGCTTAGCTGGTCAACACTCTTACACACAAAGCCCAGTGCTCTTCCATAAAACCTAAGAATTAATCAGCATTATGTAAGAGATTTTTATAACACTCTAAAAATACATTGTGAATTCCTTTCCAGTGTTGGACTGAGAAGCTTTAAAGTACAGCCACCCCTTCATCCCCCTTTTAAACAAACACTGGATCTTCCTTTCTGGTATCAGAAACTTAAATTTGTTTCAGTATATGTGTCTTAAATCTCATTAATTACAATATTGGCCTCATGAGATACAACTGCTGCTATTAAGTGTCGTGTTTGTGCTTGAAATGATCTGAGTGTGGGCACAGATACAGATACTACATGTGCAGAAAGACTTTCGAACAGGACAAATGGTACATAAGACTTCACAAGACCACAGGATGTTTTTGTGTTACTGTACCTGTTCGCTTGGCAACTCTTGTATCTACAGGATAGCACTTTGTTTGAGTTGTTCCAAAGGATACTATACTCCCATAGAATTTCTGCAGAGGCAGTTGTAATGTTAGCTTGGCAGATCTACAGCAAAGTCCTATGATCAAACTCTGGGTTGCCCTCTGTTTTTCATACACATAATAAATGAATAAATACTGGCATTATGTCTGTATCTCACTGAAGGATCTCTAAGCAAAATTAAAAAGTCATCACCCGAATGCTAATGGTCGTCCAGGGTCATACCTGTGCAGAGAAGGAGCTCTAACACTGCCCCTGGAAGCAGACTCTCCCTGTTCAATTCTGGACATCCAATGCTGCCCTCTAGAAGTTCACCCTGCTCCAATTTGCCCACCAACCATCATTTGATCTAGGAACATCCAAGGCATCTGCAGTCCTTCAGAACCAAATAAATCATAAGAATGCAAATGAAAAATGGGAACAAAGCATTTTCAGCTGTGAAAATCTTCTCATGGATGGAATGCATATCCAAAGGACACTGAGCAATCTCATTTTATTTTTAGGAAACACCTCAACGTAGTTCTTTTCCACATAGCAACTTTTCCCCCTGCAAGAGCAACACACCACTGCCATAGCCATCTTCTCAAAATAGCCCCCGCCATTCAAGCCACAAACAAATCAATCAAAACTATTGAGGCAAGCCAGAGAGATTTTGCAGAAAATAAATAAAGAGGGAAAAGAGGAAGACACAGAGAAGAGCCAGGAACCACTTCACTGCTGTTACCAGCTCCATGTGAGAGCTGAGCTGATACCAGGGCAGTACGAAGCCTTGGACAGGAGATAGCCAACGTCTCTGGTGGGACGGCAACGGCTGTTCCACATGGGTAAGCAAACGTTCAGATGAAAATTGTACTCAGGACTGTGGCATCTGAACCAAAATAAGTGTTACCTATCTTGTGTGCATTTGCCTGAGCGTGTCCATGTTCACTATTTTCCTCCCTCAGACTACCGTTATTTTTTGTATTTTACCCACAACCCAGGTCCTTCTTTGTTCTCTGCTCTGATTCTTTCTCTGCCTTTCTTTCTTTGTGCCATTTTCCGCTCCCTGTATTCACACTGAATACAATCAGTCACATGGCTAGCCTTCATGTGAACTCCATGCTACAAGACATGTAAGTATTATTCGGTATGAATGCAGGAAAAACACATCCTTTTGGTTGGCTCTTCATTTACATGCCGTTCTCAGATTCTCTCTCCACAGTCCTTTCCCTTTTTCATCACCCACATTCACTGTGCATTGTTCTTGTGCTTTTCTCTTTCCTTTTTCTCTTCTCCCCCATGGCCATTTACACCTCCTTCTCTTCCTGTGTCGGCTTCCCTCACCCTTCCCACCTCTCCCTTAATGCTCATTCTTTCCAGTTGCCCGCTTCCTTCCTATTCCCACCAAAGCTCTGTGGACAGCTCTTCCCCCACTGCAGGTGGTGTGACCTGGACGTGGGCAGGAGTGGTGGTGGTGCAGAGGCCTGGGCTGATGCTGGCACCATCCAGCAGACCCACCTCTATCACTCCATCCCACCAACCTGCATGAAAAACATTGCGGGGCAAAAGCCCGGGGCCGGCAGACAACTTTGGCATACTGTGGCCTTTGTTGCAGCTTGCATTAATCTGGTGATTTACTGCAGTGAGTTGCAAAAGCACAAATCCCACCCCACTGGAGTCAACAGTGGGGAACGGTCTGCGTGCAGCCACCGGCCGTGCAGGACTCCTTGGCATTCTGCTCCTTCCTGTTGTCTCTACCGCTCCATCGCTAATTTGTTCCAGTCGCTCGTTAATGCTCTCCTAATCCCCCCCAAAACAATTTCACCTCCCCAACCATTTCCTTTGCTCTTGCAGCTCAGGATCCAGAGGACGCTTTGCTGCCGCTCTCACAATGATAAACAGATGCCGGCGGTCCGTGCCGCGCACAACTTCCCGCCCCAGGTGCTGTCTGGTGGTTTGGCACGGCGGGGCCTGGCCGGAGAGCGCTGGGAGCGCCGGGGACGGCGCACCGAGAGCCTTCGGGCGGCACGACGGGGTGGGTTCGGGTCAGCTGTGTGTTAGTAGAGGTGAGCGGGTACCAAAGGATGGCAGATGTGGGGCCGTACTTCAGGAAAGCGGGGCGCGGAAGGAGAGCAGAGCGCTGCGTGACCCCGGCTCTCTGCCACCACGTCTCTGTGCACAGCCTTCAAACCCCCCAGCGCAGTTCCTCGATTTCCCTCACACCACCGTGCGTTCCCCTCCGTCTCCCCAAGGACAGGTTTCTCCTCAGGAGGCGCTCCCTGCCGCCCCACGGCCCCCCGCCGCCCACGGCCGCCTTGCGGGGCTGCGCGCCCGACCTCGGCACCCCGGCACTGCGAGGGGCGGCCGGGCCCGGCGGTGGGCAGCGCCCGAGCCCCTCGGCGCGGCGGGGCGTCGTGGCTGGGGGCGACCCGGCTCCGCGGCCGCGGGCAGGCTCCGTGCAGGGAGCGGCCCGGCCGCCGGCTGCAGTCCGCTCCGCGTTTTGCCGCTCGCCGCCGCGCTCCCCCCTCGGCGGCAGCGGCGGCGGGCGGGTGCCGGGCGCTCGGAACAGCCAGTTGTTTAAAATCCTTCTAGAACCGTTTCTAATTCCCCCTTGCGCCGGGGAAGGGAGAGCGCGAGCGGGGAGGGGGGAGGAGGAGGAGGGAGGAGAAGGGGACGGGGGGAGCGGCGGGGGGGGAGGAGGGAGCAGCCCGCCCGGCTCCCGCCTGCCCGTCACGGAGCGGGGGGGCGTGGCTTCGGGCCCGGCCGGCCAATGGGCTGTGTGTGTGGCGGCGTCGCCATGGCGACGGGGCTGTTCCCGGGGAGGCTGTGATGGGTTGACAGGTGCGTGACAGTCGGAGCTCTCCGCAGGCATGTACGGCAAAGGCAAGAGCAACAGCAGCGTCCCGTCCGACAGCCAGGCCCGGGAGAAGTGAGTACGGCCCCGCCGCCGTCCCCAGCCCCGCGCCCAACAACTTTTCGCCGGGGGCGGCCGCGCTCGGGCCGCGTGGCCGCGCGGCGCCGGGGAGCGGTCGGAGTGGGACCCGCGCTGCCCCGCGGGGGGTGCGGCGCCCCGGGCGCCGCTCGGCGGGGCCGGAGCCGGGAGCGGGCGGCGCGGCGCGGGGACGAGTTGGGAACAAAGCGCGGCGGCCGCGGGGCGCGGAGCTCTGGCGGCGCCCGACTCCCAACTTCGGGCCGGGACCGCGTCGCGCCGGGCCGGGAGCGCCGCGCCGCCGAGCCCTGGGGAGGCGCGCACCGAGCCGCCTCGAAAGTTTTCGCGTTGCGGCGGTCTCGCCGAGCCCGGGCCGTGCGGCCCCTCCGTAGCCGCGGGGACGGCGGGACACGGCGCGGCCGAGCAACTGGTGGCTGCCGGCGGTGTGCGGGCGGAGCGCTCCGGCGGCGACTGCGGGCGGCGCGGTGCGGAGCAGCCGTTCTCCGCCGGGGAGTTGCGGAGCGCCCCGCGGGCGCTGGTCGGGGTACCGCGGGGGCGGCGCAAGCCGCTCGGCGGGGCAGAGCCGCGGCGCTCCGCTCCGAGACCGGCGCGAGAAGTTCGCGGCGCCTTCGGTCCCTCCGTTCCTTCTGCGGCCGGTCTGTCTTCCGTGTTCCAGCCATCGTAACGTCGCGTGCGGTGCTAAAAGGCGCGCTACTTTTCCAGGCAGGGCTGCCGAGCCTCCGTATTGCTGAGAAGTATCTACCCTGCTCGGCAAAGTTGCGGGGCCCTGCTAGATGGTGCTGTTCGATTTGCGGACGCCGGCTCCCTCGCGGCGCTGGGTGCGCGCGGACGGGATGCGCGCTGCGGAGCCGGGGTGGGCTGCTGCCAGGGCACGGGCACGGCCGGGCCGGGAGCGGTGGGGGGCAGCGGCGTAGCGACGGGCTCAGCCAGCAACTTAGACGTGCCCCTTCATCTCCCAGGCTTCCTCTAAGGATTCTTTTCCCCCGACGAACGCCGTTACCCTCCAGATTTATTCCTTCTTTCCCATCCTTTGAACTTATCCCCTAGCAGAGCAGATTCCGTCTTTGCGGTCCTCATACTTTTCTTGGGGAGTTGCGTTATTTTTCCTTGTGAAGCTGTTCCACGGTTGTGCAGTGCTACTCCCGAGATGATGCATGAGTTCTTGCCCTGCGCTGAAAAGTTACCATCAGATTAAAGGTCTCTGTGAGAACGCAGCCCTGACTTCTGCACAGGGTCTGGTCTGTTTGGAAATTGGAGAAAACATGCATGTCTGAGGCATTAGGCAGTCACTTAGTCAAGAAGAACGAGATTATAACTGTGTTTAATTTGAATTTTCAAAGTTCTTAGATCCAAACATGCAACTTTTAGTTTTGTCTCCTTGAGATTTAAGTAGCCAAATTGAGCAGCCAGTGGCAGATCTGAATGCACTTGCAATGACTGAGTAAGCGCAATGGGGTTTGGATGTGCAGAACACACGTGTTCCTCGTGAGGACATGTGAGCATGTGAAGAGGCTCCTGAGGAGCATTTTACCAGTGTGGAAGCTGTGTGTGTTGTTCGCATTTTATTTCAGTCAAAGATGTGATATACTGTATATTTTACAGACTGATTCAGCACCAAATATGTTTTTAATGTGGTATCTCGCTGTGTGCCGCCTTTAATATTTATCTTGTTTGAGGTTATGTCATCTCTATTAAATAAAGTGAACAAGTTTTGCAAGTCATTTTTACAGTACCCCCTGGCAAATTATCAGTTCCAAAGCAATGTTCATTCTATGGTCTTTCTCTTTGCCCCTCCTACCCGACTTTTGGGGTAAATTACCTCTATTATATTGCTTAACAACAAATGTGAAGTTTGGACAGTCATTCCCAGAGAAATAATACCAGGTTCTGTACCTGAGATGTACAGTGCTGCTCGAAAAGTAGTACAATGAAGGCATGATGCCTGTAAAGAGCAGAGAAGATGAACTAAGAAAGCGTGCTTTTTCTCCCATTTCTCCCATTCTGGAGCAGCTGTGCTTTGGTTTTGGGTCTGGGCTACCCCTACCACATGGTGGGCATGACAGCTGTGTTCCAGCATCACCTCTTCCACTGTCCAGACTTGGCCAGGGACAGACAAGTCTTCATGTAAGCTGTGGGAGAAAAAAGGCTGAATTTCTTCATAGCATTCTTTGTTATCTCTTTGTGGCAAATGCGTTTTTCCTATTCTGTAAAATTGGATTAATTCAGATTTAAGGAACTTGGACCCCGTCGTTTAACTGAATGGCTCAAGTTTCTAAACTTGTGGTCTTGGAGAAAGAAGGGTAGGACCACACGGCTTTGTGTGTCTTGTCATGCATCCTTTCCAACAGCACTTCCACAGGGATTTGGAAATAGAGCTATTCACCTATAAATAATGCTTAAAGGTAGAAAGTACAAATAGAAAAAACGAAAACAACAAAACTTATGCCATAAGCAAACTGAAATTCTGAAAGAATTAATGGTTTCATGTTGCTCTGGTCTTTCACTCTTTCACTGGTCCTCCAACTTTTTCTCTTTTTCTCTCTTTTTCTCTCTTTTTCTCCTTTTTTCTCCCTTTTTCTCCCTTTTTCTCCCTTTTTCTCCTTTTTCTCCTTTTTCTCCTTTTTCTCCTTTTTCTCCTTTTTCTCCTTCTTCTCTTCTCTTCTCTTCTCTTCTCTTCTCTTCTCTTCTCTTCTCTTCTCTTCTCTTCTCTTCTCTTCTCTTCTCTTCTCTTCTCTTCTCTTCTCTTCTCTTCTCTTCTCTTCTCTTCTCTTCTCTTCTTTTTTCTCTTTTTTCTCTTTTTTCCTTTTTTCTCTTTTTTCCTTTTTTCTCTTTTTTCCTTTTTTCTCTTTTTTCTCTTTTTTCTCTTTTTTCTCTTTTTTCTCTTTTTTCTCTTTTTTCTCTTTTTTCTCTTTTTTCTCTTTTTTCTCTTTTTTCCTTTTTTCCTTTTTTCCTTTTTTCCTTTTTTCCTTTTTTCCTTTTTTCCTTTTTTCCTTTTTTCCTTTTTTCCTTTTTTCCTTTTTTCCTTTTCTTTTTTTTTCTTTTTCAATTTTTTTTCAATTTTTTCATTTTTTTCAATTTTTTTTTCATTTTTTTCTTTTTCTTCATTTTTTTCTCTTTTTTTCTTTTTTCTTTCTTTCTTTTTTTTTTTTTCAATTTTTTCTTTTTTCTTTTTTTTCTCCCCAAAATGCCTTTGCTTTGCTGGGGCTCAGCATACATGCAGATCTTGTTCCAGAATTACTAGGTGACTATCAGCTGTGATTTCCTTTAAATATCAAAAGATGCATGATCAAAATAACAGCACAGGAGCAACCATGGGGGTCAGTGGTTGATTGCTCTTCAGTTTGGTGTGGCAGAAAACCTCAAGAAAGTGGGACCACTTGATTGCTGCTGTCACAGTGTGCTTGCTTTGCTGATGCAAGCATCTTCCCAGTGTGGTCTCACCAGTTGATTGTGTGAGAAAAGATGGGCATTTTTCTCAGTTCCATCATGCTTGCTGCTTCTTGGAAGGAAAAAGGTTTCACCTTGTTGTTTCCCTCAAGTCTGTGTTGGTTCGTGTGCCTGAATGGCTCATTTATGAGTAGTGTGGTTGCCTGCATGGATTTAAATCTCTTCCCCAGCAGGAAAGCAAAGTGAAATTTACACAATTTATGTCACGTTTCTGTTAATGCCAATGGGGTTCTCCATAAACAGGGGACAACTCACCAATGATTCTCTCATTTCATTCTACCACTGTTTAGAAAAACTGAGATTTCCTGGGGCTTTGGAAGATATGTGTGTTTTTGGACATATTTCTTTTGTTTTTTCTTTTCCTTTTTCTTCAAATTCAGAAAGATAGCATTGCATGACTTTGCAGTAATAAATTAGTGATGTTATCCATCTCTACTACAGTGCTCGTAAGCGACATAAGAAGTAAGATATAGAGTGAAATTAATTGTCACCAGTGATAAATTTTCTGCTCCTTACTGAGAAACAGTGAGCTAGCTTTTCATGTTTCAGGAGATGGAGGGCACAATGAACTCTCCTGTATTCTGTTCAAAAACAAAGTTGGTACTTTAGCCTGCACTCCTTTACAAAATTCAGATTTGATGTTTGCACGCTGATTTCATCCATCACGTTTAACTTTTGGGAAATATATCACAGCTGCGTTTGTCAACAAGAAGTTTGCAGGGCTGGCAATCTGCTTCAGAAGAATACGTTTTTTAATCAGGAAGGGTGCAGAGGAGAAGGTTCTGGAAGGAATAACTATTTCTCAGTACTTGTGGTTGATCACTGTGTTTTGGATATTCTTTTATACTGCATACAGGTATTTTGGAGAGTGTATGAAGGCATTCCAAAAGACGCGCATGCTGCGCATAAGAACAATTGGCTTTGCACTGTAGATGTAACAGATACTGACAGAGCAGTAGCTGGAGTTGCCCATAGAAATGTACATCACTATAGTGGTCTGCTGAAATGTGCTCCCAACTTCTTGTTTGCTTATAAAAGTACTTCATCGGTCTTGAACCAAGGGTAAAAAATTCAATTTCTACAGTGATTCTTCTGTTTGTTCGGTCTTCCTACAGTTTTGTTTTGTGGGTTTTTCTTTTTTTTTTTTTTTTCCCCTCCCATACTTTTTAACTTTTTTTTTAACACTGTGAGGTGTGGAGTTGCACCTTTTAGGGCTCTGCCACCACACAAACTTCTGCTGAAGAGCGAGGACTGCTGGAGGCCGCTCAGACCCGCTGGGTGCCGTGGATGTACCCTGGGCTGCAGCGAGCATGGTATGGACTTGGTTAAGAGGTAATTAAATCTTCCTGGAGGAGACAGTAATTAACGGAAACCAGCATATATTAATAATTCATTGTGATGAAATTATAGCAATATGGTAGCATCGCAAGTATTGAAGTAGCCAAACAAGATTTTTATTAATTCACCAAACTACCTGTTTGGGTGGAAAATTTACTGTGGTGCATATAAACTTGTGCTGCTTTGTTTAATTT